GAAAAATACATACGCTGCCCTTTTTTGGGAAGCTTCTTCTCGATGGCAAGTCATTGCTTGACAATGACACTGCAAACTAGTCATAGTACTCTTTTTTCTGCATCTTTKGATATGTCRAACACTGTCAGACAACGACTGGTTGCTGAGATGGAGCTTCCCGAAAAAGGGCACGCGCGAATCGTTAAAAACTCTTATTCTTTTCCCATGAGGAGGTAGGACGAGAACGTTAAGGATGAGAATGAATATCAACGTAACGTTAAATCTCGTTTCAGATAAGAGCTCCCAAACTAAGTGTATCTTTAAGTATTTCAAAATTAGTATGAAGTGCGGTTCAGAACGCGACCTAGGGTGACTTAATGTGATTGTTTCTGGAATGGTTTTCTTTTTTCGTATGTTCCCAGATATGCCTCATTGGAGTACGATCTTGTTTTCAAAGGAATCTTCCCACTTATTGCTTGGTCATTGCACCAAGCTTTTTCAATACTGAAGAAACATCATTCCGATTTCTTCAGAACAAAATTAATATTGTCAACTGCCGCAAGAAGTACGAAGCGAATACGAACCGATCAATAGTGAGGTTCAGAACGCGATTCCTGTAGTTGTGCTCTTGCCGTATTTTCCGAGATAGGTCTCATTGGATCATTTCCATATCACGTTTACATCAGAATTTTCCCAGATATGCCTCATCGGATCATCTTACAGACTATTAACCACATCCCGATTTCTTCAGAAGAAGATAATAAGCCTGATTGCTACAGAAAAGAATTAAAAATATAAAGTACCCTATTAGGCTGGACAAGATTTTTCTCACAAATCATGTCAACAAAGCATAATGGAACAAAAAAAAAGAGAAAAAAACGATCATCTCCGGATGATCAGCTCGAAGAGAGTTCGTAATTCGGACTGCTTTTGCTCAGGTCCCACAATTTCATTTTTCGAAAATAACAATCACCACAATCCACGATACATGCAATCAGATGTGGAAACCGTTCTTTTTTGCTACTTCTCATGTCCGCGGCGCCCTCGCGGCATTGATTGTCTTTGGCGGGGCGATATATGTCGTAAACGCTCAAAATCTGGTTGAGAAGTGGACCATTGGGAAACCTACAAGCGACTTTCTCCCCGAAACTAACACCTTTACATTTACCTATGCAGTGGACGATTCTATAACAACTGCCAATACTGCTGGCCAGATGTATCAGATTGGCTGCAAAGAAGAGAATCTTGAGCTCAACGCCCAAGAAGGTATCACAAATGTAGTGGCAGCTGTTTCAAACACTGGTAGCGCTACTCTTACTTTCACCATGAACTTTGGTATTCTGTCAAAGTTTGACACGATACTGAATCGGGAAGAGAGTTACATGGACACCTGTGTCCGATTCATGCTTACTACTGATGACCAAACAGTGGAGGTCAATTTCCTAGAAGCTACACTCAGAATTTATTTCGATCTGACTGCTGGTGTTGTCATGGACTTCAATGTTTCTCCAAAAAACAAGGAGGTTGTTGCAGAAGAGAAGCAGTACGGTGCCGATGCCTTTCTCTGTAATCCCGACACTTTTGAACCACTCGAAGGCAATGTCTTTCTGCCAGGATCCGTTCTCAATGTTTGTGTCAAACCAAACCAGCAAGCACTCGACGATGGCTTATATATGGAAAGAATCGAAGAATTCAGCTGGTTCAGAGACTCAATCAAGCAAGAGGCAATCGTTGACGGTAGCTCTTCCAGCAATGGCTTGACGCTTATGACTTGTGGAGGGGATGGTAAGTAAACCAGCTACCACTCATCGTCCAAATTGTATCCTGTTTTAGCAGTGCACCTTTGTGAACAAGGATTGCTTGTGGTATCTAGTCGCTGTTTCTCAGGCTTATTTCTTTTGCACTCGTTTCTACACAGGTGGCGGTTATTGCTCAATCTCAACGTTTCTGATCGCAGACTTTTACCGACCGCCAACTCTTCCTCCGACCCCAACCCCCACAACTGGTAATTATGATGGTTATGGAGGCGGAAATGGTGGAGGCTATGGGGGAGGGTATGGTGGAGGTTATGGAGGTGGTTATGGAGGCGGCTATGGTCAATATTCGCAGCCGTGCCAGAATTGTTACGTTTGCGATGGCACCACACCCACCATTACTACAGACACCATGGTGCATGGGTTTTGTATACACGGCGAAGCCTCGGTTACAACGAACCAAAGAAGGGTCGATGCTTATTGGGATCGGAGCGCGTACGACAGAATCAATAACTTCAACGACGAAACGATTCTTTTTGAAGACTCAACGAGTTATAAGGCAGATATAAGCTACTCCGGCAGCGAGACCGAAACTCCAAACCAAGACCTGTGCGAGGGTGGATATTTCTTTCAAGCCAAAAACTACGAAGTAAGTGTGTCTTCTGTGTTTGGATGTAACAACCGGAGCAGTCGATAACCCACGGTAACTCGCAATGCTTCGCCAACAACGTATTGGGTTGATTCCATATTCAATGCTCACTTTACATTGTTGGTTTTGTCGAATTGAATCGAACGAAATTTGAAATGAACTTGTCGTGAACATTCGAATCATAATTTCCAATGCAAACAAAACGCATGATGAAATTTAATTGGTTACTTCATTTTCTTACTGATACCCAAAGGTTGCGAACGTAATAAAAATTGAGATCGAAATCACAAAACACGACGTCTACGATCCGGATGACGATGAGGGAATTAGGTTTTGCACCATGGTCACTTCGGACACAAGCCGTGATGGGGGGCTCAATAACAACTTCATGGCATCGTCCTACGATATCACGGAAGGCCTACGGTTCCAATTGAACGACGCAAACACACACACGATTGAGGGTACTGGAATCGATTGGTATTCTATTGCAGGATACAACAATACGCACCCGAGCGACACCCTAAGAGACATTTTCTCAAGTGGAAAAGATGTCTTGGTCCGCGTTGATGCCGATGGCTTTTACTATTCTACGTACATCGGATATTTCTACCTCCCCTCCAAAGATTCCGATGGTGATCCCTTCACCTCAAACTCCGTCTTTCGTATGGAGGTAGCTCCAAATTGTCAAGGTGTATGGATCCGTGCGCCAAGACACGATGGGACAAGCAGAGTGATTCGTATGAATAGCGGAGATAGCGTTACTTTAACCTATGCCGACACAGGTTTTGGTACAGGATACTGGTTCACAGCGGGTGAAAACGAGGAGTGGAACGGCAGCACAAATTCGTTTAAGATCGAAAGGGGTGACGGAACCTTTGATCCCTACGACATGAACGTCAATTGCGTCACTTTTACCAGCGAAAAGTGCTCTTATTACTCGTACTATGGATCTATGGGAGGTTTTCGGAATCGAGAACTCGGAAAATACGCAGGAGAAGCAGACGAGCCAGCCATTGCATTCCGGGAACAAGAATCTGGCGCCCGACGCCTTCAAACCGATTCCGATGAATTTGCACTCGCGGGCGGTGAAGGCACGATCATTCTGGACTTTGGCAGTCGACGTCTGGAAGGGTCCAATGCCCGTTTGCTGCAGGCTACGCAAGATCCGTTGTCCTCGACTATCTCCGTCGATGCCACACTTTCTACAGCCTTCGACGAGATAGGAGAGCTGCGAACCGCCAGTGGCAACCGCTTGCAGAGGGCGACGGGCGTTATTGGGCTTTTATTAGCATGGGCGACTGCGATGGTAGCCTTCGCGTGGTAGAGGAACCCACGGGCTTGTCTTGAGGAGGAAAAAGGAAAACAACGATGTTGAAATGCAACAGTCATGGGTGTCATCGTTCTGTATTTAGTTGTACTGTGCATGAGTGAATGCTCTTAATTTCCGCTGTTCTTTAGACTCCGTTGAAATAAATAAAAAGTAATTTGAGATTCCAAAAGGTAGTAATAATAATGACAATGATATTTTTTGTGGTGATTCCCGTTGATCTAAATACATACCGTACGAATTTGAGAATTTTACTAATTTGATGTACTTGGGTACTTCGTGGATGGTATTCGCACCTTGGAATTATTAAATCAAGGAAAATTTCAGTATTTTGAGTACGAACTAACCGATAGTTTTGCCAAGGTTTTCGTAGCATTTTTATATTACTGTAAGGGAAATTAGAAGTTACGAAACAGTACTGTAGTTAATTTTCAATTTTCGACGGCTCGTCTCTTGTGGGGAACGAAGAAAATGATTCTACTCGGTGTGCTTTCACTTTCTCGAATTTGACATTGTCGTGGCTGATGGCGAAATTCCATGTGAGATTGGTTTGTTGTCGTCCATTCAGATGATGGATGTTGTGGATTTGAGAAGGTGCTTTGAATTGAGGTGGTGGCGGATTTCGTCAGATAGACGGCGAATATTGGCGTACATACACTGATAAGGTACTAGGAAACATGTAGATTGATGATAGCGCACGAGTCGAAAGCTCGGTGGTTAACGTTGGTTCTAAGGCGCGATTAGCTGCGGGCTGAAATTTCATCAAAGAAATAATTAGGCCTCGACCTCTTGATCTTGTGCTTGCTCTCTCTTATCGGGGTTTTTGGCGCCTTGCTGGTTGCCGTTGCCGTTGTTGACGTTTTCTTTTACGAACACTTTCTTGTCGTAAAACATGTATGCGACCAATCCTAGCATACCCCCACCACATCCAACGACGTAACCAATCTGAAACTTTGTTTGATCCTCGAGGATCGGAAGGCTAAGGGTGCCCAAAATAATGGTCGGAATCGCGAGAAAAACAGCTGCCCAGCCCGAACATTTATGGACAAACTCCCACACCCTTCGCGTCGTGGACTTCGCCTCGCCCTCAGACGGCGGATGAGGACGGAGGAAAGCATTCAGGGGCTGGAGTAATCCCAAAATCATTACTGTCATCCCGCAGATCCCATGGCGGTAGTTGTTAAAGCCGTAGTCCCTGAAGACATTGAAATTCACCAGCGCGATGATCCAACCAATAAGTGCCAGGAGCAAACCGAACATTTGGATTCCTCTGTGCAGCTTGAACCAAATTCCGTCGGGACGGTGCTTGAAGAATTTGGCCGTGATAGCTCCCGAGGGCAACAGAAATCCCCACCCTAGGATCATGAGCGTGGCATGAGCAAAATGCTTCGTACGAAGGGTGTTGCTTCCGAGGTTGGCGCTGGCGGCAATTCCATCCAAAAGCGACCCACCTCCCCCATTGGCTCCGGCAGAGGCACATGACCGGTCAACAATATCTTGCATACCAAAAAAGGATTGACAAGCACTCTGCGTTTCCAATCCAGTAGAATTATACGCTGTAGTATCTGCGATGGTGCCAATTACTTGAATCGTGGGGGGGACAGAAGCATCGTTTTCGTTGAGATCGAGAATCACAGCTCTCGTGGCCACTCGGAATCCCCGAACATGGGAATTGTCTTCGGTGTTGGTCACGGGGCAGGTGGTGCAAGTTCCAACGGACTGTGCCAGCTCCACGGCTTGCTGCTTTGATGATTCGTCGAACCTCCATCCGCGGCTGTATAGGCCATCGCTATCGGGAAGGGTGGAAGGATCCAAAAGAATCTCGAAGGGGGATGCAATGCACGACTCGACATCGACCAAGCAGTGGATAGAGTGGGCTCCGGGATCCTCGAGGGTTACGATTTCTGGATTGTCGAAAAGCGTCCCGCGGTCAATGCAAAAGAGGTCCATGACGTAGCCTTCTGTGCAGATCTCATCGCCAGCCTCCAGCGCCGAGGCGCAGGGAGCCTCGTCGACTGTTTCGCCATCAGAGCCTGCGGCGTCCACGTCTAAAATGTCGGGCATGCCAAAAAAGGCCTCGCAGGCACTCTGCCCGCCACTTCCGACGTAAGCAGTGGTGTCCTGCATATTTCCAGTATCCACTTGGATAATAGGTGGAAGTGTGGGATCGTTTTCGTTGAGGTCGAGGATGGTAGCCTTCATTGCGGCACGGAATCCCTTCACGTGGGAGTTTTCGCTATCATTAGTTAAGGGGCAGGTGGTGCAGGTTCCTACGGATCGCGCCAATTCGATGGCTTGCTCCTTGGATGGTTCGTCGAGTCTCCATCCTCGGTTGTAGACATCGCCGGTTGCTTGTGAATTTTCAGGGGGATCGAGCAATACCTCAAAAGGGGACGAAACACACGAGTTGACGTCGACAAGGCAGTGGATGGTGTGCAAAAAAGGTTCCTCGAGGGTCCGGACGGTTGGATTATCGAGGAGCGTCCCACGGTCAATGCAGAAGAAATCCATGATGTATCCTTCGGTACAGATGGTGTCCCCGACTTTCAGAGCTGCAAATGTCGAAGAGGGGCGCAGAGCCAACAGAAGCAAAGACAGCGCTGCTGGCAAGATGATTGGGCGGTGAAGAATCATGATTGAGTGTCTTTCTTTCTTTTACAGTACTACTATTTGCTGTTGCGATGTATTCTTTTTGGGGAGCTTGGTTTACTACGAGGAGATTGGTCGGTAAGCTTGCTTCTTCGGGGGGGTTTATATGGTTTTGTTTGTCGTTTTTCGTTTGCTTCTACTTATTTCGTTTCGAAATGAAGAGTAATTCGATTTATGAGAACACTAGCTTTCAAAACAGTATCGACGGGTTAGTGTTGAGCTTAACGCTGTGCACGGAAATCGAAAAAATACGGCACATGTTACTCGCTCGTCAAGAAACGAAGAATCTAACATGATCGAAGAATACATGAACGAAGAAAGGTAAGATAAGGCTTCATTGTACGGTATGAGTTACTCGTATCTTGCTCTTCATTGGTTTGAATCTGGTACGCACTGTACCTACGATAAGATTGTCTTCTGAGCTTAATCGAAGTTCTTCTCCGTATTACATATCGATAGGTAGAAAACAGCACGAGCGAAGAATCATTTTAACCCAACACACACCTACCGTTATATTCGTAAGTACATTCATACAGTCCCGTACGGTATGATACAAAATGCCATAGCGCGACGGTATCCTAAATGATACCGTAGGATTTTTGAACTTTTTTATCGTAATAGCGTCTTTGAAACGTAGAGAACAGCCACAAACAAAAACGAACCCACAGTACAAAAAACTTTTCCCGCGATAAATAACACGGACCTCAACAGATACAAAATTCTGGTGACATTTCCGGTACATACACGCGCGGACCGTGCGACGCAAAAGTTACTATACGTATCGTATATACGGTCGGTACGAGTACGAGCAGCTAAGTGGAAATATGAGTGGAAGAGAAAATTTTGAATTTTTCTCGGCATTCTGAATCGAAAACGGCGTAAACGTTGAGCAGCTCAACATTTCCATGTAACCACGCGCGCTTGGTTACTGCGCGGATACAAAAAACTAACACTAACAAACACTAGTTATTTTTTGCTTAAATACATGCACCTCAACAAGTTACAAGC